GAGTTTCACCATGCTGGCCAGGCTGGTCTTGAACTCCTGATCTCGTGATCCACCCGCCTTGGCCTCCCAAAGTGCTGGGATTACAGGCGTGAGCCACCATGCCCAGCCTTGTATTGCATTTTTAATGCAATTGTCTACATTTTTGGAAAATATTGATTCTTTTGGAGAAAACCAACTGAAATGCATGAGGTCATAAAGAGCTTCCCAATCATCTCCACTTCCCCCTCCTCCTGCAGAGTCAATCTGCTCTCCTCACCCCAGGCCGGTCCCCAGGCCTCCTCCATCTTTACCTCATCACTAGCTTTGCCATTCACAGCCAAAGGCAAAGACAAACAGGCAGGCAGGCAAGGGGACATAAGGAACTGTCCCTGCTCTGCTTCCTCCCCCTGCTGCTCCACCCCCACACCATTCCCTCTAGCCATAACCAATCCTGACCAACCTGGAACATGCTTTGGCCTTTCACGCCTCCGTGCCTTCGCACATGCTGTTCTTGAAGACTGGAATGCTTTCCCTCCCACCTTCTCCACCTCCAGACTCCTACAGTCTTACCAGCTCAGATGTCACCTCCTCGGTGAAGCCTCCCTCACTCCCCGCCAGCTAGGAATCCACCCCCTCCTCGGTGCAGACTAGCTCACCCCTTATTATAGCACTTGGACTGCAATGACTGTTTGCAAGTCAGTGTGTCCCCCATGTCCCCAACTCCCTGTGCAGTGATGAGCCTTTATCATCCCTCCTAGCAGGGGTCATGAGAAGCCCAGGTCATTTTGACTTTTTGGGGTACCCCGTCTGTTTGAAAATGAAGAGGTGACAAAACAGGATTACACACATCAAGGCATGTTTTAAAATGTTTAGCAAGTTCATGTTTTTGATACAAAAAACTATGACAATTGTGCTGCTCACAAGATAATTATAAGATTTATTAAAATATAAGAACTTACAGTGCTCCACAGGCACAGTGGCCTGATAACAGAGTATAGCTTTAAGGATATACAAGGAGGGTCTTTGATCACATCGGCCAGTGGATCCAACATCATGTCTAACCTTATTTAGAGATAATGTTGAGAGCCTAAATTGGAGACCCTGACCAAATGGCTCTTCTGGCCTCTTGCCCAGTGATGACAGGCTGTACTGCTGCCTTTGCACACAGTAGGTATTCATTGTTTGCTGAATCATGGGAACGAATACAGATTTCCAAGTTGGTTACTGAAAACCCACATACAGTAAGTATTCCCAAGAAACACTGCAGTCCTGAACAATGGAGCAGGAAGCCACCTCCTCCTCCAGTGACCCCAACCCTGAGTCCAGCTGAAGGCTGCAACAGGAAGCCCCTCAGCCACTGTCCTTCCACTCCCTCTTCCCCACTCCCCCCAGGGGCTTCAGATGCAGTCATGCTTTCCATCCGCTCCCAGCCTCTCTTCTCTTTCCAACCTTTGGAGGGTCCCAGGTGAAGAAAGAAAAAAGCACTTACAGAAGGAGGCAGGCAGCCAAGCTGAGCCCGGGAGAGTTGTCCTGGGCGCCACCCCGCCCCCGCCCTGCAGGCCTGAGGAATAAAAGAAACAGCAAGAAGACAAAGAAGGGCTTAAAGCACTGGGGCAAAGGAGTGGGGGAAGGCCTAAGAAAGTTTACAAAGCAATCTGTCAGAGAAGGGATGAAAACGGAACCCCGCTGGGCTGAGGGGCTCAAGCCCTCAGCTCACCTTAGGCCCAGTTAGAAACCTGCAATTACTTCAGCTGGTCTGAAAGGCAACCCTCCTCTCTCCAAGAAGCATAGTTATTAACCTCTGACCCAGAAGTTTCCCTGAGCCTGAAGCTGGGGTTTTGGCAGCCCCAAGTACCTATGCCCTACTAGACTCAACACACCACTCACTTGAACCCACCAAACAGGCCCAACCTCTGTTCTGTCTGAATTTCCGGAAGAAACACAATGTGAGGATAATGTCACCCTCTTATCCACACAACTATTGAGCCACTTTGATTTCCAATATTTTCTTAACCAATATACCCACAAGCATTTCTGGAAGTTTCCCTTACCGCCAAAGCCAGGGTTAATAAAAAGTAACGGCTATCATCCAAGAGCACACTCTCTGGAGCCCTTTAATCATCTCACTCAGGACTCACAACCACCTTAGGTATGATGACCCTCATTTTAGAGAAAACGAAATGGGCCTGGATTCAATGACTTCCCAAAGGATACACAGCCTGGTTTCCAAACCAGGTCTGTCTGACCTTGAGGCCCACATTCTTTCCACTGGAGATACTGCCTCTTGGAGACCCTCCAGGACTCAATTTTAGGTGTTTCTTGAATCAATTTTAATTTTTGTAGCCAGTCAAATTTAGCAATGGGGGGTTGTATAACAACTTTAGTTACATTAATGTTACTACATTTTGGTAACCCAAGGGACCAGCCTCGGATCAATTTTAGATGGGATAGGATGGTATAATTCTGCGACATCTGAAGAATCCCTAGCCCCACAGTTGCTGGTGGAAAGAGAAGGAATGGGAAAGTCTGCATTATGGCTGGGTCGGGTCCTTCTAGTTCTTTTTAGACACTTGAGTAATTTAATCATAAGTAACTGGGCACTGGGAAAAGGACACTCACTAATAAAAGCATAGCCTGGAGTTACGTTTGAAAAAAATTTTCAAGTTCCTCAGTGGGTGGATCTATCCGCAAAACAAAAGAAAGGCCCCTTTCCCAGCCTAGGAAGAGAAGTCTCCTGTACAGTTAGAGACAACAGGCTTCCGGGCACATAGCCAAGGTTCTGGGGATATTTACAACTTGAAGAGGGTGGGAGTCCCTAATAAGCTGCTATATTCTTTTTCCATCACTTCCCTCTCCAAGGCTACAGCGAGCTCGGAGCTCTTCCCCACGCAGAATGCTTGCTTTCCCTAGTGCTCGACTCTCATTGTCTAATTCCCTCATCCTGGCTGGGGAAAGGGAAAGCTGTGAGTCCTCCCGGTCCGAGGAGATCCAGCTGAATGCAGCTTAGTCGCTGGTGGTTTCTTGGCCAGCCTCTGTGGTCTCAGGGATCTGTCTACGAGCCTGTGGTTTCTCTCAACTGCCTGCAAGTCTGAGACCTCGGGAATCTGAGTCTTTAGGATCTGCCTACGATATCTGGGCTTCGCCTGCAAGTCTACCGATTTGAGATCTACCTGCCAGTCTGAGACCTCCGGGACCTGCCAGTGCACTCTAGAATCTTTCCGAACGCCAGGTCTGAGAGTACGCTGGTGCTTTGGGATCCGTTCGTGGTCTCTCAGATTTTGGAGCCGACGATCTAGTGGATCTTTTGAGGGACAGGAGGTAAGTCTGTTCGTCCCCCTACTCGGGCTTTTGGCTGCCTATCTTCAACCAGACAGGGACTGCTAACATCCTGAAGGCCCGCCTGATTTAAGGCCTCAGACGCCCACGGTCCCTTCGGTGCGGGAGGCCGCCAACAGCCCTAGTAGCAGACAAGCCCTCGGGGACGATAAGGAGGGCTCGCCCTCCGCCCCAGGGTCTGGCTATCTCCCCCTTACACGCCCTATACCGCCACTCTGAGTTCCCCCAAGATTTTCGCCTCCTCGCCGCTGGGCGCCACTCAGTCCGCTGCTCAAGGGGCGCCCTCTTGAAAAGGACGCGGTCGCACGCCCCTACAGGGTTAAAGCGCCGGAGCGGAGACACCGCCAGACTCAGCTGCAGACCACACTCCGGAGCCGCCCGGGCGACGCGGGTCCTCTCGGGAGTTGTATTCCGGGAAGAGCCGTGCGACCGCAGGCCCTGCTGGGAAATGTAGTGCGTGGGCGGGGCTCAAAGTTCTAGCGCGGCCTCCGAGTCTACCCTGGGGAGTGGGTGGCTGCCGCTTCCCTTTCCGACCTGGGCTGTCAAGCAAGGGCTAATTCTAGATCAGCTCAACATATGCCAGCGCCTAAATTAGGCCTCACTTCGCAGATAATAAGGCCCGACTCAAGAGAATCTTCTAGGGACGTGAGGCGAAGCACGCAGCCTCCTTGGCTTAATCGTGCTGCAGTCTCCACGAGAAGAAAGCGAGAGTACGTCGCCCTGACCGGGAGGACGCGCTTACTTCTAACTCTTTTGTTCTTTTCCCTCCTTGGCTCTTGGCCGCTGCCTGGCTTTTGTACGCGGGAGTAGAACTCCAACTCCCGGCAGGCCATGGGGGCAAGCGCAGGCGTACTAGAGGCTCTTGGCCACGCTGTGGGACGCGGGCCTAGTGTTCCGCCGCTGATTGGCGGGGTGTTTTACGAGCATCGCTCGCTGATTGGCTGAGGCAGCTGCCGGAAAGGACCCGGCCTCGAGATGGCCGAGCGGAGGCGTTCCCTGGGCTGGGCTGAGCGCCTCCTCCCTGAGACAGCAGCCATCTGACCCCCGGCGCGGGAGGGACCCAGCCAGGGGGCTGTCCTAGTAGATTCTGGCATTGCCTCCACCCCGCAGTGGCCGCGACACAGAGGGCGGGTCGCGCTTGAGGGTCAGGGAGGAGAGTGACCCGGCCCCAGTCCAGGGCCCTCCCTGCCCGCCTTACAGCCAGAACTCCAGCCCTGGGGAGTGGGCAGGGCCTGTTTTCCGTGCCTCACGCCCTGCTTTTCGCCTCCTTCAGCGCTGTCTGCTAGCTGCTTTTCCTGCTTTCTCTCCCAGGAGGCGAATCCTTGCGCTGGAGATGGCAGCCACCCTGCTCATGGCTGGGTCCCAGGTAAGCCAGGGGTGGCTTCTCGGACCTTGTCTCTGCGTACCCGCCTCGTCCGGCGTTTCTCTGCACTGCAGGTCCCTGTGGGAAATTCCCTGGGATTAGTAATTCTCTTGCTTCGATATTCTGCCTGCAGTGGCCCAGTACCGGACCGTTATAGTCACAAACAAGCATATATCGAACACCTGCTGTATGCCTTTAAATACTGGGGAAATAAAAGATGGACGAGATGGGCGCTACCTTCCAGCTCACAGCTCACAGTTCACAACCTGTAGGGAGAGAGACGCATCCGTTTGAGCGTGACACAACGTGATAGTGCTCTGTTTGCTGTAGGAACAAAGTGCTGTAGTGTGGGAATCACTCCCAAGAAGTGGGAATGATTAAGTCTATCTGGGGAGTCCAAGGGGAGTGGAGCGGTGCAGAGGGGTAGGGGGCATTGAAGAACAGTTGGTACTGGAGCGGGACCTTAATAAGCAGTAGAATTTCACCAGTGGGAGGAGGATATTTCAGGAAAAGAGGAACATTGTGAGTAAAGGTATGGAGTGATGCAAGTGCCAGATGTGTCCTGAGAAAGGCACAGCCAGAAGATAAAGTTCTTGAGTGGGGCAGGGATAGCTGGCCATGGGACAGAGCAATTGACTCATAAATTGCTCCCTTCTTTACCACATCTCTTTTTTGCTTGCTTATTTCTTCTTTGGACTCTACAGATAACACTTAATATCTTTTCCTCCTCAGTATTTCTAACCATGTTTCTAATTTCAAGATGTCCCAAATACAGAATAGTGAGGAAGCATTGTGTGATTTCAGGCACCTGTGACGTTTGAAGATATGGCCATGTATCTCACCCGGGAAGAATGGAGACCTCTGGACCCGGCACAAAGGGACCTTTACAGGGATGTTATGCAGGAGAATTATGGCAATGTTGTCTCACTAGGTAAGTCAGGATTCTACCTTTCTTTGCCTCCATGTTTTTGAGATGGTGTCAAAATGACTTAGTTCTTCAACACAGCCTAGCTGTTTGATTTTTAAAGCACTTAATTGGATATTGTCTTGACTTGAGTCCTCAGGCAAATGTTTGAATGTGGGAACATCCAGGTCATATTGTCTAAAAAGAAAAAAAAAATGTTTCTGTACATTTTAGAAACGTTCAGATTTCTTGTGCCCTGAGTCATTTTCCATTCTCCAGCCTGTTTGTTCAGATCAGTGACCAAACAGGTCTGGCATAATAGTGCTTGCCAGTATATAAATGCCCCCCTAAGTAGTGCTTTTTCTCTAGGGCACTAAAAGATGAGGGGATTCTGACCCAGGTTCATGGGAGGGCGAAAGCCACCTTTTTGCGTTTGTTTTGGCTTCAGAGCCCTAGCTTTGCCTCAGATTCCTTATCTGAGTAGGTTCTCATCTAGAGATGTTACAGTGTTGATAATGATGGATTTCGAGTGTGCCAAATGCTGTTCCATAAGAATGCTGAAATAGATCACAAATTCTATTAGGGCAGCTGATTTTTTTTTTTTTTTTTTAAACATCATCTGCAAACCTGTTTTCTTTCTTTGCTGTACTTTGGTCGGGGTGTAACTAGAACAAACAGTATATTCTTGATCTGAACAGTCTTTTGACTCATTTTGTCTCCTGTCAAGACTTGACAGACATTAGCAAGCATGTATGGGTCACTAGGTCATCTGCCACTCATTAGGACGAACGAATCCTTTTTTTTTTAGAAATCTTTATTCCCGTAGTCTTTCCCAGAACAAAAGGCAACTCTGAAGGCTTTCCTTTTTAACTTGGGCTTTTCTCTGATGTCCCTAGTTTCTTGAATCCTTTTTTTATCGAAGTAACCATAAATAGTTATCTACCCAGATCTGTTGCAGTCTGTAACCCAAATATCCAACAAAAGCAAGAGATGACAATCTTTAAAAAATGTGAATTTACATTTCTGTAGTCTAGCCCCAAAAGCACTTGTTAGAAGAATGGAAGTACCAAAAAATTGGTTTCTTGCCCAAATAAGTTTGGGAATGGGTTTAAAAATTATGGGCATTTTTTTTGTGTGTTTTTGAGACAGGATCTTGCTCTGTTGCCCAGGCTGGAGTGCAGTGGCACAATCACAACTCATTGCAACATTGACTTCCCAGTCCCAGGTCCTCCTCCCATCTCAGCCTTCTGAGTAGCTGGGATCACAGATGTGTATCAACTTGCCTAGCTAATTCTTTCTATCTGTCTGTCTGTCTGTCTGTCTATCTATCTATCTATCTATCTATCTATCTATCTATTTAGAGATGGAGTCTCGCTCTGTCACCCAGGCTGGAGTGCAATGGCGTGGTCTCAATTCACTATAACTTCTGCCTCCCGGGTTCAAGCGATTCTCCTGCCTCAGCCTCCTGAGTAGCTGGGATTACAGGCACCGGCCACCGTGCCCAGCTTATTTTTGTATTTTTAATAGAGACAGGGTTTCACCATATTAGCCAGGCTGGTCTCGAACTCCTGACCTTGTGATCTGCCCACCTCGGCCTCCCAAAGTGCTGAGATTACAGGCATGAGCCACCGCACCCAGCCTATTTATTTATTTTTGAGACAGAGTCTCACTCTGTCACCCAGACTGGAGTGCAGTGGCCCTATTTTGGCTCACCGCAACCTCCGTCTCCTGGGTTCAAGTGCTCCTCCTGCCTCAGCCTCCCGAGTAGCTGGGATTACATGCACCTGCCACCATGCCAAGCTAATTTTTGTATTTTTAGTAGAGACGGGGTTTAACCATGTTGGCCAACCTGGTCTCAAACTCCTGGCCTTAAGTGATCCACCCACCTAGACCTCCCAAAGTGCTAGGATTACAGTCCTGAGCCACCACACCCTAGCCTGTTTTTATTTTTAATAGAAGTGAGGCCTCCCTATATTGCCCAGGCTGGTCTCAAACTTGTAGGCTCAAGTGATCCTCCTGTCTCAGCCTCCCAAAGTGCTGGGATTAAAGGCCTGAGCTACTGCATCTGGCCTTGTAAGGCCTTTTTACCTCAGGATTCCTTGGAACCTTTACTGTGTGATTAGACATTGTGAATTTTGAAGGAAGCAATATTTTATGTACCATTTAGCAACCTAGTTTATCTATAAACTCTTTTCTCGCAACATACATACTTTGTTTCTGAAGAGCGTACTAAGAAACCCAATGTGGGGAGTGCCGTGTCTGGTATAAAACTCCTTGTGGAGAGTGGTTGTGTATTTTGATTTTCATTTGAAGACTGTATGTGAAATATACTTAGACAATGCCAAGAATGTTCTCAGCCAGACATCTTTTTTTTGCCTTCTTCAATCTTCCCACTCCTATTTTCATTAAAAGGTCACTGAAAAGTAGAAAGTGACATTTGTCAGTCACGTTTCTGTCAACTAGGGCATAGGTAAAGATTCATTTTTCTCCACATTAACATAGTGAGTTCTGGCTGGGCATGGTGGCCCACGTCTGTAATCCCAACACTTTGGGAGGCTGAGGCTGGTGGATCACCTGAGGTCAGTAGTTTGAGACCAACCTGGTCAACATGGTAAAACCCGGTCTCTATTAAAAATACAAAAAATTAGCTGGGTGTGGTGGTGCTCACCTGTAGTCCCAACTACTCGGGAGGCTGAGGCAGAATTGCCTGAACCCAGGAGGTGGAGGTTGCAGTGAGCTGAGATCATACCATTGCACCCTAGCCTGGGCAACAAGAGTGAAACTCCATCTGGAAAAAAAAAAAAACCCACAATGGGTTCTTAGTAAATATTTCATGATGCTACTAATGATGAAGGCTTGGCAAGTTAAAAAATACACACATACTCACTTAAAATATCTAGACTCTTGGCTTTTAGTGATTCTAATTTAGTCTCATATTTTCTGCTTCCAGTTCTTTCAAGACACCAGGAATATATATATAGTTTTACTTATTTTCTTTTTTTAAGAGACAGGATCTCATTCTGTTACCCCGACTGGTGTGCAGTGGCACAATCACAGTTTATTGCAGCCTTGAACTCCTGGGCTTAAGTGATCCTCTCGCCTCAGCCCCCTGAGTAGCTGGGACTACAGTTACATGCCACCACACCCACCTAATTTTTAAAATTTTTTGTAGATATGGTTCTCCCTATATTGCCCACCCTGGTCTTGAACTCCTGGCCTTAAGTGATCCTCCTGACTTGGCCTCCTAAAGTGCTGGGATTATAGGAGTGAGCCATGGCACCTAGCCTGTACAGTTTTCTTAAGGAATCAATAAATTACAGCAATACAAAACATGAATTTTGACAGACCCTGAGTTTGAATCCTTGCTCTACCATTTGCTATGACCTTGAGCAAGTCAATTCACTTGTCTGGGTCTTGGATTTCTCATTCATGAAGTAGAGATCATCACAATTCCTGACTCTCAGGATAGCTGTGATGAAGAATATAGTAATTCATATAAAGAATGTGGGCCGGGCACAGTGGCTCACCCCTGTAATCCCAGCACTTTGGGAGGCTGAGGCAGGTGGATCACCTTAGATCAGGAGTTCAAGACCAGCCTGACCAATATGGTGAAACCCCATCTCTACTAAAAATACAAAAATTAGCCAGGCATGGTGGCATGCACCTGTAGTCCCAGCTACTCAGGAGGCTGAGACAGGAGAATTGCCTGAACCCAGGAAGTGGAGGTTGCAGTGAGCCAAGATCACACCACTGCCCTCCAGCCTGGGTGACAAAGCAAGACTCTGTCTCAAAAAAAAAAATTTAGTATAGTGCCTGGCACAGAATAGGTAATTTTTGTACTTAAAGTCCTATTGTTTACTTTTTATTACAGATTTTGAGATCAGGAGTGAGAGCGAGGTAAATCCCAAGCAAGAGATTAGTGAAGATGTACAATTTGGGACCACATCTGAAAGACCTGTTGAGAATGCTGAGGAAAATCCTGAAAGTGAAGAGGCCTTTGAAAGCAGAGATAGGTCAGAAAGACAATGGGGAGATTTAACAGCAGAAGAATGGGTAAGCTATCCTCTCCAACAAGTCACTGATCTGCTTGTCCACAAAGAAGTCCATACAGGTATCCGCTATCATATATGTTCTCATTGCGGAAAAGCTTTCAGTCAGATCTCAGACCTTAATCGACATCAGAAGACCCACACTGGAGACAGGCCCTATAAATGTTATGAATGTGGAAAGGGCTTTAGTCGCAGCTCACACCTTATTCAGCATCAGAGGACACATACTGGGGAGAGGCCTTATGACTGTAATGAGTGTGGGAAAAGTTTTGGAAGAAGTTCTCACCTGATTCAGCATCAGACAATCCACACTGGAGAGAAGCCTCACAAATGTAACGAGTGTGGAAAAAGTTTTTGCCGTCTCTCTCACCTGATCCAACACCAAAGGACCCACAGTGGGGAGAAACCCTATGAGTGTGAGGAATGTGGGAAAAGCTTCAGCCGGAGCTCTCACCTAGCTCAGCACCAGAGGACCCATACAGGTGAGAAACCTTATGAGTGTAACGAATGTGGCCGAGGCTTCAGTGAGAGATCTGATCTCATCAAACACTATCGAGTCCACACGGGAGAGAGGCCCTACAAGTGTGATGAGTGTGGGAAGAATTTCAGTCAGAACTCTGACCTTGTGCGTCATCGCAGAGCCCACACAGGAGAGAAGCCGTACCACTGTAATGAATGTGGGGAGAATTTTAGCCGCATCTCACACTTGGTTCAGCACCAGAGAACTCACACTGGAGAGAAGCCATATGAATGCAATGCTTGTGGGAAAAGCTTCAGCCGGAGCTCTCATCTCATCACACACCAGAAAATTCACACTGGAGAGAAGCCTTATGAGTGTAATGAGTGTTGGCGAAGCTTTGGTGAAAGGTCAGATCTAATTAAACATCAGAGAACCCATACAGGGGAGAAGCCCTACGAGTGTGTGCAGTGCGGAAAAGGTTTTACCCAGAGCTCTAACCTCATCACACATCAAAGAGTTCACACAGGAGAGAAGCCTTATGAATGTACCGAATGTGAGAAAAGTTTCAGCAGGAGCTCAGCTCTTATTAAACATAAGAGAGTTCATACAGACTAACACCTGTAATTATGATGACTGAGAAATGATTCATTTGAAGATACAATTTTATTTGATATCAATGAGCTCCCTCAAGACTGAGCTGCTTTTATCATACTCACTTTCCTAGTTGTGGGCCATGATTTAAACCATCAGAGATGACAAGCCATTTGAAATTTTGACCCACAGCTTTGGGAATGTTATCTCCTCCAAAATGGTGGTTTTTACTCACTCAATGGGTTACTTCATTAAAATCAGCCCCACAAGTAACTGAAAATCTGAAGACCAAGGGACAAATGCTGGTGAAGGCCCAGGCCTGGAAATGGAGTAAATCTTTAAATGTTATTTTCTCCCATCCTTGGCCAAAAGAACTAGGGGAAATGTGGGACTTTAATAGGGTGGTCACAGCTGCTTTGGAAAAAGGCAACTAGAGACTGTGCCTGAATTGCTATACCTATTCACACACCATAGTAGTTGGGCACACACATCTTCCTCTCCAAAGGGCTTTTTCCTTGAGTTGCTCATGCATTTGTATCTCTCCATCTTCCTGAGGGCTGGATTCCACCATGAAGGCAATGATTGTAACTTTTCTCCTTCTCATTGTTTCTAATTAGCTTGTTTAAAGCTTGCATCTTTGTGAAAACTAACTGAAGATACAGTTGGAAAGGAAAAACAAGACACAGGTTTGGGGACCAAGGACCCATCAATGGTGGTGACTTTAGCAAAAGATGCCCATGGTTATTATTGCCATTAATCAGATTTATAAATTTTCTTTGGGGATCACTATAGGGAACATTGTAGGGACAATATCTTCAAGGAAAGATAGGACCGTCAGTGGCAGTTAAGTGTAAGGAGCAAGTGGAATTGACTCCTTCAGGAAAGGAAGCACAGAGTCCTTTCCCAAGGAATGTAGGTCATTTCTGTGTTCTTTCCCCTCTAATCTTTAAGATCAACTCTTTTTATCCTGCTAACTCTAAGATTTGATAAGGGCCACATCCCAGTGTTTATCTTAGCTTGCATCAGGGCATGCGTATGTACAGTAATGTGTATTCCTGTGGTTTTCCTAATAGCAGAAACAATTTACAGAGACTTAGCATGTTCTTGGGTGATGTGAATCATGTGACAGAAGTATAGACATAACTCCAATGTGAGAAATGTTCTTTTTTCATTCTTTATGAAAAAAATATAAACACTAGTGCTCCAGTGTGCACTCTCCTGTAAGGTCTGTCTTTGTACAGAGCTAAGCACTTGTTTGTATGTGTTTGTCCATTGTGGAAGATAATGACCGGACAAATAGGTCGATTGTCCTATTCTCAGAATGACTTATCTTCTATGGCAATGAAGAACTCTTTGGCTTAGTCAGAAGGAATTAATAAACCTAGGAAGAAATGTATTTCCATCCTTCCAGCCTACAGATAAAAGTGGTTAAAATAATAGTTCATTCAATTTAAGCCCAGTAGTGTCAGTTTGTCTAATCTCAGTCCAGGTAGGAATTAAGTAATATCTCAAACATTGATGCTTATCCAAGCCTGTTGGGGTAGAAGGGAATTGGTGCCCAGAAGATGGGACTGGAGTAAGGAATATCTTTTCTTTTGAGAGTACCCCCATTTCATTTCTACTGTGCTTTATTACTAATGTTCTTTATTGTGAACATTGTAACATTAAAAAAATGTTTTTGCTGTAGCTTTTGGGGATTTGGTGTTAAAGGAGGCAGTGTAGGGTACTATAATGAGTTATTGTGACCCACAGCTGTGTGGGACCACATCACTTGTTAATAACAACCTTGAAAATAGCCCATCTTCCAGGGGTTTCCTTGATGTTGCCACTCCGTTTTAAGGACAAACTGAGGCAAGGAGCATTTTTTTGTTGTTGTTCTATACAAGCTCTAGCAGACTGTGGGTATTGGGTGACATATATGTTCTTGGTAACTAAACTCGAATACGTTTTTCCCCATATATGTTGCTGACAGTTTTAATAAATATCAAAGTTCTCCCGTTGCTTCTGTGAGCCACTATGGGTATCAGCTTGGGAGTGGCCATAGATGACAGCAGTTCCATGACCTAACTGTATTTCAACCCTTTTTCCTTCCCTACTGTTTTCACAACACCCCAACCAGTTCGTTCCGCTGCTTTTGGCTTCTTAGAAGTGAAGGGACAAAGACAAGGCTTCCAAACACCCAGCTATCTCCGTATATGAACAGTCTAGCTGGGAAACTTAAAGGGCAAGAGCCACACCAGTTGTCTCCTCTCTTTCTGCCAATTGTTGCCCATTTGCTGTGTTGAACTTTGTGTAGAACTTACGCCTCAGACTCTCTTTACTAATGCTTTTTGCATGCCTTCTGCTCCCAAGGCCCTGGCTGCTTCTGCACACCCGGTGAACACATTGTGCCTGTTTTCTATGGTTGTGGTGAGTGAATGAACAAGTCAATATGTAGAACAGTTTTCCTTATGGTATTGGTCACAGTTATCCTAGTGTTTATCTGTGTTATTCTAATAATATTCTATAATTAAAGGTATAATTTTAAAGTCAGCAAACCTGAGAATTACTTTAGTAATCTAGCACTGATTCATATAATGGGTTTTCATCAGGTTCATTAAAATTGGGCATGATTGTCTTTACACTGATGCATTTTGTACAGACGTACAGATATTTTACAGACGTTCTTGTAGGAATTTGGGAATACAGTATCTTGAGCCCTCTGTATATTGGCATATCTTGGGAAGATGAAAAAACCTAGGCAGTTTCCTATGAAGGTTATGCTGGTGACAAAAGCAACATGGAAATATCTGGTATGGGTGACTTACTAGCTTTGGGGAATGAAAAAAGAAATCCAAAAACAAAGATGAGAGAAGGCCTTATTGCTTTAAGGAGATATTTTGGAGTATTCATTAAGAATACTAAGGCCAGGCACGGTGGCTCACACCTTTAATCCCAGCACTTTGGGAGATTGAGGCGGGTGGATCACCTAAGGTCTGGAGTTCAAGATCAGCCTAGCCAATATGGTGAAAACCCATCTCCAGTAAAAATACAAAAATTAGCCGGGTGTGGTGGCACACGCCTGTAATCCCTGCTACTCCGGAGGCTGAGGCAGGAGAATCGCTTGAACCTAGGAGGCAGTGGTTGCAGCAAGCTGAGCACCAGTGCACCCCAGCCTGGACGACAGAGCAAGACTCTGTCTCTCTCTCTCTCACACACACACACATAAAAAATACTAAAACATCCGGCAACTGCTCTGATGAAAAGAAAATAATTAGGAAAAATTAAAAAATACTAAAACAGTTTTTATCGGATTGGGTTCCTAGAACAGAAACACCTTTTAGAAACAAAGGCTCTCTATTGGTGACATAGTACAGTCTGCCTAAAGCTGTGATTAGGTATTACCAGGGTGTGGCCACAATTTTCAAATTACTTAGAAGTAATTTTCTCTCATGGAATCTTTTTTTAAATGGATAGCCAGCTTAGGCAAAGTTAGGGATGGAAGTGCTTTATATTGAGGAAAAATATAAATATGACAGAAAAGTTTTTAATCCGGTAGCCAAGACTTGCAAAGAAGAGAAATTTTTATCAAAAAACTTTTTTTTCTGGGTTTTTTTTTTTTTTTTNAAAAAAAAAAAAGAAGCATCAGTGTATTCATTGACATAACAGCTCAGACAACAGATTTGGTCTGTAACAGGGAAGAGATGTGGAAGTGTCTGGTTGCACTGTTACTTAACTTCACAAATTATGGGGTATAGCTGGAGCTCCCCTTAGCAACATTTTTTTTTTTTTTTTTTTTGAGACAGCGTCTCTTTTTTTCACCCAGGCTAGAATGCAGTGGCATGATCATGGCTCACTGCAACCTCAACCTCCCCAGGCCCAAGTGATCCTCCCCACCTCAGCCTCCCGAGTAGCTGGGACCACAGGTGTGTGCCACTACACCCAACTAATTCTTCCTTAATTTTTTTAGAGATGGAGTCTCCATATGTTGCCCAGGCTGGTCTCAAACTCGGGCTCAAGTGATCCAAGTCAGCCTTCTAAAGTGCTGGCTTACAGTTATGAGCCACCATGCCTGGCCTCAAAATATTATTTAGGCTACTCTGGGCCACTCTGCCTATGGGTTAGCCCTGCTCTGTCTATAGAGCAGCCAAAAGTGTATATGTATAAACTCTTAGCTAGGCGTGGTGGCGTATGCCTGTAGTCCCAACTACTTGGGAGGCTGAGGCTGAGTTTGAGGCTGTAGAGCAAGATCTCATCTCTTAAAAACAAAAACAAAAAAACTCTCTTCTTACTACATGTTCAGCATTTTTCATTGCTGGGAAGGAAAGTTAAGGGAAAATACTAATTCACCTGGAGAAGTGTAGCTCAAGAGCCTCCCTCTAAGAGTATTTGATATGTTAATATCTTGCCATTGTTATTATTGAGCAAATTTCTTTCTGTGTGAACTGTTCTCTAAGAGCCTAGAGGTAGGTTAGGGCTGTGTTTCCAGACCATTAGGACATCCTCCGAAATGATAATTTGTTAAATGGTTCCCTAGTGTTTCAGAAGTTAGTGTAGCTGCCAAAGGAGTTCCCATGCCCTGGGAGAAATGGACTCTTTGGAAGCTGTTGTTAGATACCCACCTCTGCTGTAAAGTAGCAGATGTGGGCCCTGCTTATCTATAGGAGACTTCAAGAGACTAAAAGACTGTTAAGATCGTTAGTGAAAAATAGCTGAGGGGTAGAATTAATGGGAGAAAATTACCCTGTAATGACCTAAAATGGGTCTGTGGGAAATCCCATTGCATGATCTGTTTTTCTAAATGCTTCCTTTCCAAAGTTTATATTATTTTCAGCTTCTCTAAAAGAAAGGTGGTTTTATTTTTCCTTTTGGGAGAGATTGAGGTGGATGTTACCAAAATCTGGCATAGTTTCACACCAGCCCTTGTAGCTGCTTTCTGGACAGCTCCGCTTGGAAATTACCCATCAAAGCATGAACAATAACAAAACTAAGTTTAAAAAATTATAATAGGAAATTACCCAGACATCTTGAAATCACCCTAAACTCAACTTGCCACTTTTCCCCCTACCCCTGTCTGCTTCTCCTCTGTTCCTAACACAATCATTGCCCACTTATCCAAACTAGAAACTTGCATATCATACAACTCCTTTGCATTTAGCCACCCTCCCCAAATCGCTAACAAATGTAACTATGCATCCAGTCATGCCCATACCACTCCCTAAATATTTCTCAGATCCTTCTACCTCGCTCTCTCTACTGCCACCCATTATTACCATGTGACTTTGGGCAATTATTTAGCTTTTCTGTTCCTTGGATTCCCCATCCGCAAATGGGAGTAATTATGTCTACCTCATAGAGTTGCAAAGATTAAATGAGACCACGGGGCTCAAAATATTAGCAGCAATTATTCAGACCATCACTGGGCCACATCTCACTGAAACGACCTCCTAATGAGTCTCCTCTTTTCTATTTTGATTCCCGTCAGTCTGTTCTCCCTTTCTGCTAGAACAATCTTTCTGAAAGGCAAATCCCTTCATGCCACTCTTCTGTGTAAAGCCCTGTCATGCCTCCCATTGCCAGCAGCAAACAGTGAACCTTTTTTAGTGTGATTTCTGAGGAGGTCATTCATGGTCTGGCCTCTGCCGCTCTCCTCTCCCCAGCTCTGGCTCCCTCCTCTTTCCCTGCACTTGCAGCCCTCCAAGCTGCATCTCTTTCTCTCCACTCTTCTGGCCAACTCCTACTCAGCCTTCAGGTCTCAAACCTAACTTGCTTTAGGAAACCTTTCTCAATCCTGTAAGACTGGATCAGGTGTTCCTTTTCTGTTTTCCCTGGGTTTATCCCAATCAAAGCACTTTATCCCGGTTTTGTAATTGCCTGTTTACTTTTTTGTCTCTGCCATTAAACTTTAATATCCTTGAAGAAGTCACTGTCTTGCTCACTGTTGTGTCTTCAACCCCCAGAAAATGTTTGACCTAAAATAAGCAGGCAACAATAAAATAAATAAGGAGAATATACACAAACTTTATTCCCTTCAGCAGGGCTGGTGACTATTTCTGATGGTTACCACACCAAGCTGCTTTTTCTTTTCTTTTTTTTTTTTTTTTTAAGGAGACAGAGTCTTGCTCTGTCACCCAGGGTGGAGTGTAGCGGCACAAATCATGGCTCACTGCAACCTCTGCCTCCCAGTTCAAGCTGATTATTGTGCCTCAGCCTCCTGGGTAACCGGGATTACAGATGCCCACCATCATGCCCGGCTAAGTTTTAGTATTTTTAGTAGAGATGAGGTTTCGCTATGTAGGCCAGGCAGGTCTTGAACTCCTGGCCTCAAGTGATCAGCCCCTCGGTCTCCCAAAGTGCTGGGATTACAGGCTGTGGGCCACCGTGCCTGACCAGTACTCGTTAAAAGAACTGTAGAAATTCTGTCATTAGTGCACCTGGTGAGGTCTTCTGGAAAGAGGATGAAGGCTTTCAGAAGTAACGTGACCCATCTAAGACCCTCCAGCCTGGGTGACAAAGCAAGAGTCTGTCTCAAAAAAAAAATTATTAAAAAGATGACAGGCTGGGCACGGTGGCTCATGCCTGTAATCCCAGCACTTTGGGAGGCTGAATCTGGCAGATTGCCTGAGCTCAGGAGTTCATGACCAGCCTAAAACATGGTGGTGGTATCTCTACTTAAAAAATACAAAAAGTTAGCTGGGCTTGGTGGCATGCACCTGTAGTCTCAGCTATTTGGGAGGCTGAGGCAAGCAAATTGCTTGAACCTGGGAGACAGGTTGCAGTGAGCCGAGATCGAGCCACTGCACTCTAGCCTGGGCAACAGGGCAAGACTCCGTCTCAAAAAAAAAAAAAAAATGATGATAAAGCAGACATGCAATAAGATCTTGAGGTAAGCTGACTACAAGCCATTGCAAGTCATCCACATGACTGTCATCTTAGGAGGTAAAATGGAACACAAACAGCTTAAGTGCTGGTCAGTCTTGGTTGGAACTCCACCATTTTGCAAAGTGCTTTAAAGATAATAAAATAATGAAAATGATTCTATTTTTTTTTTTGTTTGTCTTGTTTTTATTTTAGGTAGATTCTTGCTTTGTCACCTAAGCCGGAGTGCAGTGACGCAATCTCAGCTTACTGCAATCTCCGCCTCCCAGATTCAAGTGCTTCTTGTGCCTCAGCCCCCCAAGTATCTGGAACTACAGGTGCAAGCCACCATGCCCAGCTAATTTTTGTATTTTTAGTAGAGACAGGGTTCTCCCATGTTGGCTAAGCTGGTCTCAAACTTTTGACCTCAGGTGATCTAACTACCTCAGTCTCCCAAAGTGTTGGTATTGAAGGTGTGAGCCACAATTTTCGTATTTTTTGTAGAAATGGGGTTTCACCATGTTGCCCAGGCTGGTCTTGAGCTCCTAAGCTCAGGACATCTGCCCACCTGGGCCTCCCAAAGTGCTGGGATTACAGGCGTGAGCCACCACACTTGGCCCCTATAATTGTTATAAGAAGCATCAGTCGGCCGGGCGCGGTGGCTCACGCCTGTAATCCCAGCACTTTGGGAGGCCGAGGCGGGTGGATCACGAGGTCAAGAGATCGAGACCATCCTGGTCAACATGGTGAAACCCCGTCTCTACTAAAAATACAAAACATTAGCTGGGCATGGTGGTGCGTGCCTGTAATCCCAGCTACTCAGGAGGCTGAGGCAGGAGAATTGCCTGAACCCAGGAGGCGGAGGTTGCGGTGAGCCGAGATCGCGCCATTGCACTCCAGCCTGGGTAACATGAGTGAAACTCCGTCTCAAAAAAAAAAAAAGAAGCATCAGTGTATTCATTGACATAACAGCTCAGACAACAGATTTGGTCTGTAACAGGGAAGAGATGTGGAAGTGTCTGGTTGCACTGTTACTTAACTTCACAAATTATGGGGTATAGCTGGAGCTCCCCTTAGCAACATTTTTTTTTTTTTTTTTTTTGAGATGGAGTGTTGCTGTCTTGCCAAGCTGGAATGCAGTGGCGCAATCCTGGCTCACTGCAACCTCCGCCTCCGGGGTTCAAGCGATTCTCCTGCCTCAGCTTCCCAAATAGCTGGGAATACAGGTGTGTGCCACCATGCCCAGATAATTTTTTTTGTTGTTGTTGTTAGAGATGGGGTTTCACCATGTTGGCCAGGATAGTCTCGATCTCTTGACTTTATGGTCTGCCTGCCTCGGCCTCCCAAAAATACACACAAAAAAAATGGCTGGGCGTGAGCCACTGCCCAGCCTACCCTACTCTTAACTCATGATTTTTATATGGAGGCATGCAACACATATTTGTGGAATACCAAATTCATGAATATCTGTATTTACACAGCAATTTTCTTTCCAAGTAAAAAAATCAAGATATGTGGTCTGAAATGTGAGTATACCTTTAATGACTAAGTAGCAGAACATTTGAAATGTTATCCCAGAAAATACTGAATGATAGAATCATTTTAAATTACCTATCTAGGCCAGGCGCAGTGGCTCACACCTGTAATCTCAACACTTTGGGAGGCTGAGGTGAGTGGATCACTTGAGGTCAGGAGTTTGAGACCAACCAGCCTGGACAACATGGTGAAACCCTGTGTCTACTCAAAATACAAAAATTAGCCGGATGTCATGGCAGGCACCTGTAATCTCAGGTACTCAGGAGGCTGAGGTAGGAGAATCGCTTGAACCCAGGAGGTGGAAGTTGTTTTGAGCCAAGACTGCACCACTGCACTCCAGTCTGGGGGACAAAGTGAGACTGTCTCAAAAACAAAAACAAAAATATCATCAATGAACTTAAAGGAGTCTCTGAATGGAAGCAAGGGGTACTTTAACTTGAATGGGGAAAAAAAATAACATATTTGTTTTCTCTAACATCTAACTGAAATTTAGCATTTTTCCCCATTGTGAATGTAGACATACCACAGTAGCAATACCTTTCCCTCTGTCACCAATAGAAATCATTTTCATATCACTTTATTAGAGCTATGGATTTTTTTGAAATATCTTATTACTTTACAATTTCTGTAGTTATTAGACCTGCTCTACGATCTTAATATTTATTGTGTTAACAAAGAAAAATTTCTTGCCTAGGTAACATGGGTAACATGGTGAAACCCGTCTCTGGGAAAAAAAAAAAAAAAATTAGCCCAGCATGGTGGCCAGTGCTTATAGTTCCTACAAGCCACTAACTAGGGAGGCTGAAGTCAGAGGATCACTTGAGCCCTGGAGGCAGAGGTTGCAGTGAGCCCAAATTGCGCCACTGCACTCCAGCCTGGGTGATAAATTGAGCCATCTTAAAAAAACAAATTAAAAAGAAAAAGCTTACTATATTACAACTGTGTTTTTAACATATATTTCCTAATTGTATTTCAATATAAATGGTTTATCCTGTATTGCTATGTATTTTATTTTATGCATTTAAAAACTGAGAAGAGATTCATAGCTTTTACCAGACTTCCAAATGGCACAAAATAGGTTAAGAATTATGGTGCTAGAGGTAGATTTATGTGAAGCTAGTAAAATTTAAGCTTCAGGCTGGGTGCTTGTAATCTCAGCACTTTGGGAGGCCAAAGCAGAAGGATCACTTGAGGCCAGGAGTTCAAGACTGGCCTGGGCAACATAGCGAGATCCCCTCTGCACCGCCCATGTCTCTATTAAAAAAAAAGTTGCCGGGCGCGGTGGCTCACGCCTGTAATCCCAGCACTTTGGGAGGCCGAGGCGAGTGGATCACGAGGTCAAGAGATCGAGACCATCCTGGTCAACACGGTGAAACCCCGTCTCTACTAAAAATACAAAAAATTAGCTGGGCATGGTGGTGCATGCCTGTAATCCCAGCTACTCGGGAGGCTGAGGCAGAATTGCCTGAACCCAGGAGGCGGAGGTTGCGGTGAGCCGAGATCGCGCCATTGCACTCCAGCCTGGGTAACAAGAGCGAAACTCCGTCTCAAAAAAAAAAAAAAAAAAAAAAAAAAATTTTAAGCTTCAGGGTCCTCCCTTACTTTTACAATGCCCTCCCAGGACTCTGTTCCTAAATTGATATTCATCACTTAATGTTTTTACTTAAAGACTCCCAGCATCTCTCCTCTTTCCTTTTCCTTTCCTTTCTCTTTCTCTCTCTCTTTTTTTTGTGACAAAGCTTTGCTGTTGTTGCCCAGGATGGAGTGCAGTGGTGCTATCTCGACTCACTGCCACCTCTGCCTCCCAGATTCAAGCGATTCTCCCTTCTCAGCCTCCCGAGTAGCTGGAATTACAGGCACACGCCACCACGCCCAGCTGATTTTTGTATTTTTAGTAGAGACAGGGTTTCACCGTGTTGGCCAGGCTGGTCTTGAACTCCTGGGCTCAAGTGATCCACCAGTCTCCGCCTCCCTAAGTGCTGGAATTACAGGCATGAGCTACTGCACCTGGCTTATAACTCCCAGCATTTCTGTAAGGCTCACACCCCATAACACAAAACTTGGATCTCCCAGAGATTTACTGGGCACATGGTAGTCGTTTTCTTTCTTTTCTTTTTTTTTTTTTTTTGTTTGAGATGGAGTTTCGCTCTTGTTGCCCAGGCCGGAGTGCAGTGGTGTGATCTCAGCTCGCTGCAACCTCTGCCTCCCAGGTTCAAGCTATCCTCCTTCCTCAGCCTCTGGAGTATCTGGGATTACAGACACATGCCACCACACCTGGCTAATTTTTGTATTTTTAGTAGAGACGGGGTTTCACCATGTTGGTCAGGCTGGTCTCGAACTCCTGACTGATCCACAGGCCTCTGCCTCCCAAAGGGCCGGGATTACAGGTGTAAGGTACTGCGTCCGGCCTGTTTTAAATAATTAGATCTAGGTTTACCGGTTCTGAGAAATTCAGTCATCCTTAAGTGCATCTGGAAATCCTGCAGACCACTGCTTGACTTTCTCCACTCCCTGCGGGTGGGCACTGGAGTTTGGGGTTGAGAAAAAAGGGCTGGCACTACAGAAATGAGTTTGGAAGGTTCCTGTGGGAGGAGACACGTTTCGACTAAGGAGAGGACAGGGAACAAATCAGTAAGAATGGCAGGTGAGAAATAGGTTTAGGACCAGCAAGAATCATAGTGTCCTTTGGGAATGACCCCTTTCCCCTGCATGGCTCTTTTGGTTTCAGAGATGGATATATCTGCTCTATTTTATGAATATCAAGTAGCTTCAAATCCTGTGGGGAAAAGGTTCCTGCTTTATCACTTGTGCTACACGTTGCTCTTGAGTCATTTTAACGATTTCCCTCACAGTCTGAGCTGCCACCAACGATGTGTGGACTGGAGCCAGGGAGGGAAAGAGGCATTTCTCTGATCTAGAAAATCAATGGATGATTTTCTAGACAAAATCCTCAGCAAAACGATGAACCAAATCATCCTTAAATCGTGTGCTCACGACTTGGAACCAACCCAAATGCCCATGGATGATAGACTGGACAGGGAAAATGTGGCAGATATACACCATGGAATACTATGTAGCCATAAAAAATGAGGAGTTCGTGTCCTTTGTAGGGACATGCATGAACCTGGAAACCATCATTCTCAGCAAACTGACAACAGAAAATCAAACACCGCATGTTCTCACTCATAGGTGGGTGTTGAACAATAAGAACACATGGACGCAGGGAGAGGAGCATCACACATTGGGGTCTGTTGGGGGGAAATAGGGGAGAGACAGCCGGGGGTGGGGAGTTGGGGAGAGAGAGCATGGGGAGAAATGCCAGATATACGTGATGGGGAGGAAGGCAGCAAATCACACTGCCATGTGTGTACCTATGCAACAATCTTGCATGTTCTTCACATGTACCCCCAAACCTAAAATGCAATAAAAATAAATATCTATTTGGAGTAAAAAAAAAAAAAAATCGTGTGCTCACTAGAGGCGAAAAGATGACCGAAAGAGGCCCGAACGCGTGGCTATAGGCGTGTCTGGGGCGAAAGCCGGCCGTGTGGGTGCGAGGGAGGACTCAGGGACTAAGCGCGGCCGCGGCGGGACGCGAGCGCCATGGCCGAACGGGGCCGGCGCTGACCGTAGGGGGCGGGGCTCCGGAGGCGGCCACGCGGCGCAAGGCCTAGATTTTCGGCCTCGCAACCGCGGCAGACGAAGAGGGAGGAGCCTCGGCCACCCAGGACCCAGTGCCCCCAAACCTCGCCGCCACCAAGGGCTTCCACCACAGACCCCTTTGTGTGCCTGCCCCCGCCCCGGAGGCGCCGTAGCCAGCGGCGCTGAGCACCCTCATTGGTTCAGCCGACAGCTTCATCGATTGGCTCTCGAGTCGTTCGGCGTGGTCCGCTTTGCCTAGGTACTATTGGTTCTTTGAGCTGCCTGTCAGGCCGCCTCGCCAAGCGATTGCCCCTCAGCTCGGAGTCCCTGGAAGCAGTTCCGGGAAACCCCGCGTGCTGCCGGGATCGCGTCTCTGTCCATGAGGGGGGGGAGGGGGTGGCGCGCGCGCCATTTCTAGTCGTTTTCAAAGCGCCTCGCGCTGATTCTCACGGGCCCGGCCGCCGGCCCCTGCTCTGCCCTGGTGAGTCTTGCGCCGGCCCGTGGGGGGAGGGGCCGGGAGCCCCGATCCGACCAGACTCAGCCCAGCCTGGGCTCCGCGCCGGGTCCGGTTTCGTTTGCGCTCCGAGGCCCCGGGGTGGGGGTGGGGACCGGCTGGGGGCAGCTTCGGTCTCGTCCGGCAGCGCGGCTGTGGCCTAGCCCGGCCAAGACGCCTCTTGTCCTCGCTCTTCCTCTCCACACCCCTCCAGCCCGCGGCCCGCGGTGCGGCCCGCCGGCCGCTCTCCGTGCGGCCTGCCGGGGCCGGCCGTGCTTTTCCCGCCTCCGCCCGCCGCTCCATGCGGCCGGACCCCGCGAAGGGCCTGAGGCGCCCGCGGCCCTGTCGCTTCTCCCCACCGGAGGCGCTTCACTCCCGCCGCTGCCGGCCTAGCGCCGAGTGGGATGTGCTGACTCTCCGGACGGGCCTGAGGGGGTGAGGGGGTGATGGGGGCGGAAGGCGGGGTGCAAATCCCAGGGTTATCTGAGCCGGGAGAAAAGTTTTGTGTGAGCAGAAACCGAAAGGCCGATTTGTGTGGGAAGCCTCCCTCCCTTCCCCTCCCACATTCTGCATGCCGCGAGCTGAGATTTGAAGGAAAAAATGACTACTAGAGGCTGTGGAACTCAGGCTCCGAGCGGCGCCTGAAATGAATAATTCTGAGACTGTCAGAGGCGCACCAAATTGGAAAGGCGGTCCTTTTTCTTACACGGTAGTAACCGTTTTGCCAAATTTTTTAAAAAGCCAAGGGCTTCTTGGAAGGTTCGGTCCTTTCACGCTACCTGTTTGAGATTTTTGCAGTCCTCAAGTGGCTGAATTGATCTCTCATGAGTCAGTCAGTCGTAGGATGAGAGCTCGACACTCCGAAAGCATGAGATAACCGTTAGTTTTCATTTCGTCGGTTCTTTTAAAGCCCTTCTCTTAATATAAAGAATTTTCACAGAGAGGTTGAGAAAAAGTCAGGGAGGAGTTACTGCTGTCATCCCGAATCTCCCAGCAGCCCTTTAAAATCTTTAAAAGTCTCCTTTTTTTTTTTTTTTTTTTTTCATGCTTTGATAGCATTTCCTTTGAATAATTGATTGGAGCTTTGGTTTTCCTCACTGATGCATCTTAGATTTTTTTGCAAAAATGATTAGATCAAATGACTCCAGTCACTTTAGTATATTTGCTGCATCCAGAAATATGGTTTGGCTGTGTGGCATTGTGTTGAATTGACCTGAGTTTCAATGGTCTCATATGACATAAGTCTTTAAAATGAGCACTTTGTATTTGGCTTGAAGAGAGAGGGCTTTCCTTGATCCGAAGGTTTTATTTTCTGGAATCTAATTATTTTACAGTTTTTTTGTTAAAGTTACAAACTTTTTGAAAATTTTAAGCAATTTCAGTATCAACTTGTAGAGCCTTTGCAATGAAATGGTAGGCATAAATATTTCTGTCTTGTGCTTAATACAGAACTTGTCTTTTTGCTTTACACATACTTAAAAACCCCACCTTAACAGATGTTCATTGAACTTTTCTGTTAAAAATTTGCCTCTTTTCAGTAACTAATAGTATTCTTAGGTGCAATGCTGTAAGGGTCTTGTGCTACTGAGAACTTTTGAGTTCTGATGATCTTAAGGTAATATTTGGGGATGGGGGAGCCTGGGAAAAAAGAACTATATGTTCGCACAGAGGTTTTGGGTTTTAGGATGCATCTTTATAGAAATAGGTTGTGTTAATCAGTAAACGTATTCATCTCACATGATACAGTTTCTTGATCAAAAGTGTGACAGTTTCGAATGTTTCCGTTTTTGCTAGTTCATCAGAATTTGAAGCTTGCCTTGAGAAACATCCACCCAGAATTTGACCACAGTCTGCGTCTATTAAGGGCTATCGAGTCTTAATAGTGTTTTGTAATCATGAGGAGTCATGTTTACCTCATTTTCAGAGTAACCCTTTGCATTTTCCTTTCTTCTTCCTATTCTCTGTTACCTCCTTCCCCTCTTGGTCTTCCTCCCTCCCTCATTAACTTCAACTAAGTATCAGTGGACTTTGAAGTGAAAAGAAGTTGTTTTAAGCCAGAAAACTGCACGTGGTGCATTTGCACAATGTTTGATAAGCAGTCTGGAATTGTGGTTATCTTATGTGTCTTAGTGCTTTGTAGGAGACTTGTATTTTCTTTATATATGACTAGGTATCTTGAGTTTCATCAAGAAAAGTAGGCTTTTTCTTGAGATCCACCTTTATGTCTTTTATTTAGTATGTGTTGCAGTTGTCTTGTTCTGCTGCCTATTATCTTCATCACATTATAATTTCACTACAGACAAATGCGCTTTAATTCCCTATCTTTTGAGGCAGAATACAGACTGGCCTTGTATGGCTTATTATTTACTCTCTCTCTCTTCAGGGAATCAGTCCATTTCAGCATTACCTACAGACTGAATGTACAAAATTATTTTTGGTAGGTTAATCTGAGAAATCTGAAGTTTAGCCTAATTAGGTAACATTTGTTGAAATACTTGGCAGAAGTTAGTTGTCCATTCTTCAGTATGTTTTTACATCTTTATTTTACTGATACGAAAATTTCAACATGTACTCATTTTTTTTGAGAAGCAACCGAAACTATAGCTCACTTAGTATTTTATGTGGATTTAAAACAATTGCTTAGCTTTTAAACTTGGTCATTTTTTCTTTTAAATCTGTGAATGGGAATAGCAAATTAATCTTAGAACAAAAATTAATGTCAAGTTGTTTTTTTTTTTTTTGTTTTGTTTTGTATTAAGTGAGATGGAGAAACCCCAAACCACCAGCATGTTGAACTAGAGACAGCAGGGCACTTATTTCACACCGATACTGTATTTGAAGCAGAGCCAGGAAAATTTGAAAGTCCTTAAATCTTGATTAAGTGGTCTGTGGGTGTTCATTCTGTTTTTAAACCAAAACTTTTAAAAACTGTGTAAGAACTGAGAGCTGAGGGGCTTTTAGGGTTTTGTAGTGATTTGTTGATCTTTTCACCAGGACAGAACAGCTGCGTTTTTTAATCAGAAATTCTACCTTCAGTAAATTAAAGCCTTTATTTTACCTGGTGTACATGAAGTTCCTTAAAGATCTAATGCTTCCATGTACATTTTCTTTGGTGTTACAGGATTATTATTGCCAATTTAGGTCAGATACATCACAGGAGGAATAAATTATTTTGGTAGAGGTTATTAGCATGTATACAAATTAGTTTAGATAAATCATGCATTGTCCTACAAACTAGTTATTTCTGGCTTAATGTAATATAGCTCCTGAATTTTTTCCAGCAGCATAATAAAATGGCTAATCAGGTGAATGGTAATGCGGTACAGTTAAAAGAAGAGGAAGAACCAATGGATACTTCCAGTGTAACTCACACAGAACACTACAAGACACTGATAGAGGCAGGCCTCCCACAGAAGGTGGCAGAAAGACTTGATGAAATATTTCAGACAGGTATAATATGCATTTCTTGTTTCTGACTGGTTATGAAAGTGAGGGCAAACCACTTTGAATTTTATAGATTTTTAAGGTTAAATAATACTTATTGTTTCTGATCTGTAGAGCTGAATGTTTGTTACTTTCCCTTCATTGAAGGCATATTGGGTTTGACTTTGATACTCTTATTTCATTATTTTGAAGCCTTCTTAGTGTTGAATATACAGTCTTAGTTGTTTCAGAACAGCACATCAATTTGTCTTAGATTTACCACTCATTAAAATGTATGTTTCTGCATACCGAATTTTACATTTTTTTCTTAATCGAAATCAGTCATCATTTTGCTTTTACTTTTCTACTTTTAGCTTCTTAAAGTGATTGTTAAATCAGCTTAGGTCTGATTAGGTGGCATAATAAGAGGATAGGTAGACTGTATCGTCTGAAACCATAATAAATGTTAGACTCCTTGAGAGTTTGTGGCTTGTCTAGTTTCTAATAGAAATCCACATCTCTCCGTAATTTGGAAGTGTTTGGTTTGTAACAGCTGCTTTTTTTATTTTTTATTTTTATTTTTAATCTAGAAGTGCCATGGTTAAGTGCTTAAGCAAATTTGAACATCTTAATATGGTTGGTTGTAAGTGGTTTGAAGTTTTAAAGAGGGAGAGAAATATTTACCCTTAGGGAGTGTTGTTCATAAATAAATGTGTCCTCCTCCTTTGGGGCCATAGATGGAAACTTTCTTCCTCTGTGTTTTGTGTGCCTATTCAGATTCTGAGAGAGAATTGAATTGTCTCACTCACAAATGTGTCTTAAGTACAGTAGTAATAAATAGTTGTTTATTTTTTTGTCCTTAAAAAAATTTTTAAATCTGGGAAGCTTAGCATAATTTTAGACATTAAAATGACTTATAAAAATGACTCCTGGGTGATGGTCTCATTTGAAAATCATTCCTCAGGAACTTTCTGTGATATTCTGCCATAGAGAATTGGCAGTGATCTGCTTAGAGATGCTCTCTTGTAGAGTGTTTTGTTATCGATAAGAGGCTGACGGTTTGGCTTAGGCTTGTTTTGACAAAATGGATTGATGGGTGTCCTGAGTTGTGGCTTTGGGTGGTGGTATGGAATATTCAAGGAAGGCAACTCCAGTTATTTACACATGCTCATTTTGAGCTTTTGAAACAAATCATGGCAACTTTTTTTCAAAGTAACTTTGGAAGTGGCATTACATTTATTTAAAATTTACTATATGGAATAAAGTTCTTTTTGGCTTTACCAAAATGGAGTCACTTTTCATGTTCATATGAACTTGGGGGTTTTAATCTACAAAATATTTCCATTTTACATTGGATCAATTCTGAAATATATCCCATATATATAAATATGACACAAACTTAATAGACTTAAGAAATTATATTTTAAAATTAGATGTTCTGTGTGCAGTTGAATATACTACATATGTGAAATGCAGTGTATATGTTTTCTGTTGAGTTTACTTGTAAGTCCATAAAGTCTTTATTGCCATTTGAAAAAGATTGTCATTCTTGACAGTCAGCGTTGTGAATGCCACAGCATCTTTTAAATCTCAGCTTGTCACTTCAGAAGAACGAAGAATGCCTTCAAATGTGACTTTCAGAATTGACAAATCAAGCTGCACTTGCATTTGTAGAAGTTTAAAATTATGCCTTTCCACATTCTGACTGCAGCAAAGTGGATGCTCAGATAAACAAATGCATTTCAGTTTATCTTTGGTGTTAAGGAGGGAAAGCCTTTTGACACTTTCTGGAGAGTGGAAAGAATTAGTAAAATTTGTTTTCAGATTTTCCCCCACGTCTTATGTGGTTAGCATCAACTGTAACCATTTGTAATTTGAAGGTTTATCCTTGAAAAATATAGTGTATTCTTATTACTCTAATATAAAGCAAAATTTGTTAATGCGTAATCTGTAATACAGTATGTATGTCAGATTTAACTTCCAAGACTTAACCTTTGGGGGAGTGGGAAATGGATGTTAGGATTTGGCGGGGGAGCTTTTGTGGATATGGAGATTGAAATTCATGTTTTTGGTTGTTGACATTTTATCTTTATTTGCATATCTGTACTGGACTGTTGTATATAGTATTTGGATAGCTTCATATATGCATGTAGTTAAATGAAAGTATAGTTTTTTAGTGCTCATATTGAATATAACACCTCTTGATTAAACAATCAGTAATTTAGATTACCCCTTTGTTGCAATAACGTTACCCCTTTTCAATTTAATTTTAGGACTGGTAGCTTATGTCGATCTTGATGAACGAGCAATTGATGCTCTCAGGGAATTTAATGAAGAAGGAGCTCTGTCTGTACTACAGCAGTTCAAGGAAAGTGACTTATCACATGTTCAGGTAAGGTCATTACTCAGAAATGTCTTTGAACAATTGATGATCTGAAATCATTTTACTAGTTTTTTTCCTGTGGAGAAGTGGTATTTTTTTTGTTTGTGCCTACCTCTTCTTCTTTTAAAAATCAGTTTAAAGGAAAAAAAGATCTGCTTGTGGCAGAATTTCAAAAGCACAAGTATAAAGTGAAAGTTTCCTCCCACCCCTTTGTGTAGTAAGTTATTTTAAAAGCTTAAAATTAAAGTCAAGTTTTGATGGTTGTTACTATAGGTTTTTACATGTTACTCAGCTTTTTAACTTTTAGGGGTTATCTGATCCTGTTTTATTATCTTGGAGGAAAATGTAGGTAGGAGAAATAGTTTCAGACATCTGGCAAAGATAGTCTAGATGCAGTCACTTATCAACAGATGGAAGACTGTGTTTTCCCAGGGAGAAGATAAGCTCTCTGAGGTCTGTACTGCCTTACTGCTGTCCACTCCAGTCTCTGGCACGTAGTAACCACTTGTGCAGATGTTTGTTGAGTGAATCAGTAAATACTTTGTTAAAATCCTGGTCTTCTGAAATTTAAATTTAATTATGTAACTGACCCTTCAAAGATTTTTGGTGATTCTTTTTATTGAATTACTTGTCTGTTCTAGAACAAAAGTGCATTTTTATGTGGAGTTATGAAGACCTACAGGCAGAGAGAGAAACAGGGGAGCAAGGTGCAAGAGTCCACAAAGGGACCTGATGAAGCGAAGATCAAGGTAAAACATGACTTGGGTAGTTGTGATGAAATTACATTTAATGATGAGGTCAAATGCCTCTTTCTATGTTTCCTAGAGAGTTTCACTTTTAAAAACTAGTGTTTAGAAATGAAATAATTTTGGGGGTCAACACTCAATTGTGTTTAACGAAAAGCCCTAATTCATATTCTCCCTTATTCATGGCCGTGAATGATGTAGAGACAGAGTCTTGCTCTGTTGTCCAGGCTGGAGTGCAGTGACGTGATCTCAGCTCACTGCAACCTCTGCCTCCAGGGTTCAAGCGATTCTCTTGCTTCAGCCTCCTAAGTAGCTGGGATTACAGGTGCATGCGAGTGTGCCCAGCTAATGTTTGTATTTTTAGTAGAGACAGGGTTTCACCATGTTGACCAGGCTGGTCTTGAACTCCTGACCTCAGGGGATCCATCCACCTCAGCCTCCCAAAGTGCTGGGATTACAGATGTGAGCCACCGTGCCTGGCCTGAATGACATATGTTTATTGATGATTCTGCTGCTAGTTTCTTGGATTCATCCAATAATGTGTCTTGGTTCAGTTATTTTCTAGGCACCTTGTTTCTTTTCTCTTGATAAAAAGATGTTGTTATAACTGCTTTCCTCCTTTTGAATTTTCAGTACTTCAGTTTATTTGTAAAATGGGAATAGTAATAGTAACTACCTCACAGAGTTATTTAAGGATTAAATGACTTAACATATATAAAGCACTTAGAATAATGCCTGGAATGTAGTAAGAACTATATAACCATGAGCCATTATTATTACCATTTTGTTACTTAGATAAATAGCTTTGAAAGGTAAATATACCGCTTTTAGTGAAAGACCAGTAAACCTGATTCCTTATAATGGATACTCTGTCTTGCTGTAGTGATATACTTTTGTTTTGTTTTGTTTTTGAGACAGAGTCTTGCTCTGTGGCCCAGACCGGAGTGCAGTAGAGCGATCTCAACTCACTGCAACCTCCGTCTCCTGGGTTCAAGCGATTCTCCTGTCTCACTCTCCTGAATAGCTGGGACTACAGGCATGCACCACCATACTCAGCTAATTTTTTTTATCTTTTGGTAGAGATGGGGTTTCACCGTGTTGGCCAGGCTGGCCTCGAACTCCTGACCTCAGGGAATCTGCCGACCTCAGCCTCCCAAAGTGCTGGGATTACAGGTGTGAGCCACCATGCCTGGCCTGTGATAGACTTTTTAATTTGAAATAGTTATTTTGTGTTGAAGTTATTTCTATTATTATTACATTGTAATATGTAATGAAATAATTATACAACTCACTATAATGTAGAATCATTGGGATCCCTGAGCTTGTTTTCCTGCAACTAGATGGTCCCATCTGGGCGTACTGGGACATAGTGACAGATCTTCAGGCATTATATTCTCATAAGGAGCCTGCAGCCTAGATCCTTTGTATGTGCAGTTCATGATAGGGTTCACGCTGCTATGAGAATCTAGTGCGGCGGCTGATCTGACAGGAGGTGGAGCTCACAGCTCAGGCAGTAATGCCAAGGATAGAGAGGATGAGGAGCAGCTGTAAATATGGATTCAGCTGCTATGCAGCCCAGGCCACTACTGGTCCATGGTGGAGGGGTTGGAGGACCCCTGTTTTATATTGCATTTATTTCTGTTTAAAAGTAGAGAGCTCTGTTTCAGTCGAAGGTGGAGGAATGGAAGGCTGAAGACATGCATCCCTGTGGACTCCTAGTTTACTGAACTTGATGATATCTAAAGTCTCTTGTAGTTCTGATACTGTGTAATTTAAAAAACCTGAGTTGTAAAATTCTCTCTTTTCTACATAGATTGCATTTCTTTGTTTACCATTGTGTGTTTTGTTCTGTAGGCTCTTTATGGTAAATGTTGCCTCAATTATAACAAAAGCTCCTTGAGAGCAAGGACGTTGTCTTCTTTTCTTTGATTCCTCTTAATGCCTAATAGAATGTAAGGAAGATTCGTAATCAACAAGATTTTACATAGTTTTTGAAACTTGACTAATTTGGTAATTGCCAAATGTTTTTAGTCTACTGTGTGATTCTTGTCTGATTGTCTGATTCTTGTGGTGCTTATGATATGGCAGGAGTGCCATAACAAAAGGATCAAACAAAATAAAGCTTCAATTATGGGACCTTGAGTACACTAGAAAGACAGTGGGGGCTGGGCGTGATGGCTCAGGCCTCTAATCCCAGCACTTTGGGAGGTTGAGACAGGTGGATCACTTGAGGTCAGGAGTTCCTGACCAGCCTGGCCAACATGGTGAAACCCTGTCTCTACTAAAAATACAAAAAATTAGCCAGGCGTGGTGGCACATGCCTATAATCCCAGCTACTCAGGAGGCTGAGGCAGGAGAATTGCTTGAACCCTGGAGGCAAAGGTTGTAGTGAGCTGAGATGATGCCATTGTATACTCTAGCCTGGATAACAGAGCGGGACTCCATCTCAGGGGAAAAAAAAAAAAGAAAGTAGGAAGAGAGGGATGTGAGTAATAGTAAATAAGAGAAGCTGCATGAAGGAGGTAAGACTTAATGCTAATTTTTTGAGGATAGAGAACATTTTATTTGAAAAGACTCCCTGGTATAAACATCTATGGGGAGCCAGTGTGAATTTTGACTTTTTTTTTTTAACCTAACCATAAAAATATATCTCCTAGGAAGTTGGAGTACTTTTTGGAAAAGATTAATACACTAATGCTTGTGCGTGAGATTTAGTATTCAAGTATAAAGAGATGTATAATTATCTCTAGGCCTTGCTTGAGAGAACTGGTTATACTCTGGATGTAACCACAGGACAGAGGAAGTATGGTGGTCCTCCACCAGACAGTGTGTACTCTGGCATGCAACCGGGAATTGGAACAGAGGTAAGTGTTCTTTAGCTGTTTGCCAAGATCTTTCCAGGTTGAAAAGTGTTTTGTCTACTATGTAGATACTGTACAGAGGGGGAAAATAACTTGATCACTTTCAAACTGTAGCTGCTATTATTTTTTAGATATCCATGTGTGTTTAGCTGCCATTATGAGCATGGATAATCTTGTGACTAGTAGATACCCAAACACTTTGTATCAGAATATAATATACTGTAGAGTTCTTGGAACAGGTTGCTAAAACCATGCTACTAGCAACACACCATTTTAGATATTTGGAGTAAAGTTATTTGGAAGATTCAGTTGCTTTATTCTGTTTTTTTTCCTGCCCCTGAGATGGAGTTTCACTGTTGTTGCCCAGGCTGGAGTGCAGTGGCGTGATCTCCGCTCACTGCAACCTCTGCGTCCTGGGTTCAAGTGATTCTCTTGCCTCAGCCTCCCAAGTAGCTGAGATTACAGGTGCGTGCCACCACACCTGGCTAATTTTGTATTTTTAGTAGGGATGGGGTTTCACCATGTTGGTCAGGCTGGTCTTGAACTCCTGACCTCAAGTGATCCACCCGCCTCGGCCTCCCGAAGTGCTGGAATTACAGGCATGAACTGCCACGCCCTGCTGCTTTATTTTGGTTTTTGCTTTTTGGGGATTATTTTTGTTTTCGTAGAGACCAGGTCTCACTATGTTGCCCAGGCTGGTCTTGATCTGCTGTACACAAGCAATCCTCCTGCCTTGGCTTCTCAAAGTGCCGGAATTATAGGCATGAACCACAGTGCCCAGCCAATTTTTTT